CCCCCCCCCCCCCCCCCCCCCGGCTAATCTTAAACTACTGGTGTTCAAAAGTTTAGTTGCCATTTTTACTTCTTTTGAGAGCGGTTTGTGTATTTCATTTGCCATTCATTGATTGGATGACTGGTAATTTGGGTATTTCATATTTTGGGGTTTTGTTTTTTGTTTTGTTTTTGGCAAGGTTTCTCTGTAGCTTTGGAGCCTGTCCTGGAACTCACTATATAGACCAGGCTGGCATCGAACTCACTAAGATCCACCTGTCTCTGCCTCCCGAGTGCTGGGATTAAAGGAGTGTGCCACCACTGCCCAGCTTATTTTTGAATTCTTAATTTTTTAAAAAAGATATATTTATTTATGTATACAACATTCCTCCCATGTATGCTTGCACGCCAGAAGAGGGCACCAGATCTCATTATAGATGACTGTGAGCCACCATGTGGTTGCTGGGAATTGAACTCAAGACCTCTGGAAGAGCAGTCAATGCTCTTAACCTCTGAGCCATCTCTCCAGCCCTATTTTTGAATTCTTTAAAATAAATTTTTACATTTATTTATTTGTGTGTGTCTATGTATGTTAAAGGACCAACATGCTAAGGTGCATGTGTGGATATCAAGGGATAACTTCCTGGGATTGTTACTCTGCATCATGTGGGTTCAAGGATTGAACTCAGCTGGTCAGACTTGCTACCAAGCACCGTTACCCACTGAGTCACCTTTTCCAACCTTAAACTTTATATACTAGATATTATTATCCCTTGTCCACTTTTCCCCATGGTTATCATTTCCTTTGCTGTGCAGAAACTTTTTCCTTGAGAAAGCCCTGAATTTTGTTTTATTGATGTAGGTATATAGAGTTGCTATGGTCTGTGGTATAACTGAAACTAGATACTGCAGTAGCTCCAACATTGCTCTTTGGCTCAGGTATTCTAGGTACTTGGAGTCTTTTGTGCTTCCATATAATTTTAAGGTTTTTGTTCTATTGCTGGAAAGGATTGTAGTCATTTTGACAGGGATACATCAAGTCTGTAAATTACTTTTGGAGATGCACCACTTTTCGTGACACTAGTTCTTTAACTCTGTGAGTAGGGGAGTCTTTTCTTGTAGTGATCTCTATTTTGTATTTTGTAACATGAGGGAGGGCCGGCTTGTTGGGGTTTCTGTCTTACCCAGTTCCCACAGTTGTTTGGCCCCAAAGAAAGTCACACAGAGACTCTATATGCACCAGTATTTCAAGTTTTAATTTTAGAGATCTTTTACCCTCTTTAGGGCTTTTTTAAGTTATATTTTTTTCTTTCAGTTTCTTTCTCAGCATAACTGTTTTATTTCTCCATATTTTAGGATCAGCTTCTCTAATTAAAACAAATGTTTTAAATCAAGTTTATATACCCATTTACCAAAATTTGTCTTTATAACCTATAATTTTTTTTCTTCATATGATTTTATGTCTTAAGAGATTTAATCATCTAGCTAGTATTTACTTTTATAAATGGTATCCTTTTTTTCACTGCATTCTGTCCTCCTCCAAAAAGGAATATTGTTACTGATTCATTTATTTATCTATTTGCTGTGCTGAGGGACTTTACCCAAGACTGTGTGTGCTAGGCAAGTGCCCTACCACTGGGCCATCTCCCAAGCCATAGGAATATTGACTTTACAAAGTAATTTTATGTTATGCAAGTGTCTCTCAATTCTATTATTTCTGTAATTTGATTCTTTTTCTGGGGATATATTATGCCGAAAAATAATTTCTGCTTCCCTATTTTTGTATTATGAACTGCAAATATTAAATTACAGTAAAAATGACTTATTTAGCCACTTGGAAGAATAAAGTATATCTAAATATACATGTCTATATATGCATAGATATATAAATATTCATACATTTATATACCTATACACATATATATTTATATGGTTGTGTTACATTATTATAGATATAACATAAATATATATGTGTGTTATATTTATTGATTTTTGGAGACAGGGTTTCTGTGTAGCCCTGGATGTCCTGCAACTAGCTCTGTAGACCAGGCTGTCTTGAACTCAGATCCACCTTTTTTTTTTTTTTTTTTTTTTNAGCAACACTCACCCAGATACACTAGCCATATGCTGAGTCAGATGAGCCTAATAATATACTTAAACTATCCTGAAATCATACAGAATGTATTTGCTTACCAGGTCACAGTAAACTACATAGAAACCAAACAGTCCTGACAGTTGAACACATGTTTCGAGCAGAATAAACACACAGCACTGAGCTTAGGGGCCACAAAGCACAGCACTTTCACTCATCGGATGCCTATATAAGTGGGGCCAAATATGAAGAAGGTGTCAACACAAGGCAGAAGAATGTTTTCTGGGAGGCTTCTTCACTCTGTGCAAACTCCCTTCTCCCTTCCTTAAGTGGAGCCTCTATAGCTTTTCTTTCTTTTTTTTTTTTTTTTTTTGGTTTTTCGAGACAGGGTTTCTCTTAGCTTTGGTGCCTGTCCTGGCACTAGCTCTTGTAGACCAGGCTGGCCTCGAACTCCCAGAGATCCGCCTGTCTCTACCTCCCGAGTGCTGGGATTAAAGGTGCTGCTATGCCCAACCGACCTAAAAATTTATTAAGAAAACTGTCTCAAGACTGGAGAGGTGGCTCTATGATTAAGAGCACTGACAGCTCTTTCAGAGGACCTAAGTTGGATTCCTATCACTGACATGGCAGTTCCAGGGGGTCCCACAAACTCTTCTGACCTTTGTGTGCCCCAGGTGTAAAAGTGGTGGACAGACATACATACCTGCAAGCAAAAACATCCATTCACATAAAATTAAAAATTTAAAAATTTAAGAAAATAGGGAGTTCCAGGACAGGCTCCAAAAGCACAGAGAAACCCTGTCTCGAAAAACCAAAAAAAAAAAAGAAAGAAAAAAGAAAATAGGGAAGTGAGAAAACTGTCTCAAAGGAATATTGTTAACTAAACTTGAAGGCATGGTAGCACATACCCTTAATCCTAGAACTCTGGAGGTTGAGGCAGACTTCAAGGCCACCCTGATCTATATAGTGAGCTCTAGGACAGCTGGGGTTGTGCAGAGAGAGACTTGCCTTATAAAAACAATAAACAAAAAAGGAAGAGCTGGGAGTTGGTGGCCCATGCCTTTAATCCCAGCATTTGGGAGGCAGAGGCGGATCTCTGAGTTTGAGGCCAGCCTGGTGTGCAAAGCAAGTTCCAGAATAGCCCAGTTTCAGGGCTGTTACACAAAGAAACCTTGCCTTGTAAAACCAAAAAGGAAAAGAAAACCGAAGGAAGGGAAAGGGAAAAGAAGTAGCGTTAGCTGAAAAAGTGACAGAAGACTACATATGAAAATGGATATTTTTGTCAAAATATCAAAGGCCAATGGAAACAGCTCATGGGGTAAAAGAGTTTCCCATGCAGGCCTGACTACCTGAATTTGATCCTTGAACCTAAGGTGGACAGAGAGAATTGATCCAAAAGTTTCCTGACGCCTGAACTACACACTACGCGCGTGCACACACACATACAGAGTTTTGTTTTTTCATGAGAACTTTGGAATAAAATGTACATCTAGCATAGGCAAATACCTTTCAAAGTTTTCTTTTTGAAAAATGGCATGGAAGTAATATCAATACTTGAGTTCAGGGCCAACCTATAACACAGATACATGAGTCACTGCCTCAAAAAATTCTCACTTTGTATTTCCTCTACAGAAGAGACGTTCAAACCGCCAAGTTAAACGAAAAAAATATACAGAGGACTTGGATATAAAGATAACAGATGATGAAGAAGAGGAGGAGGTGGATGTAACTGGTCCAATAAAACCCGAGCCCATCATCCCAGAACCAGTGCAGGAACCTGATGGAGAGACTCTGCCTTCCATGCAGTTCTTTGTGGTAAGCTAACGTTAACCATGTGAGAGTTTGTGTGCTGTGTGTGTGTGTGTGTGTGTGTGTGTGTGTGTGTGCGCACACGTGTGTGTGTGTGTGTGTGTGTGTGTTTTACTGTTTGCTGTTGTTGTTTTGAGATAGGGTTTACTCTACAGGCCAGGCAGCAATCCTCTTGCCTCAGCCTCTGGAGTGCAGGGTTATTGGCGTGAACGGCCACACTCATTTTGTTCTTTCAACCATTAGTTGACTGACAACATCTTTTGCCACAGGAGAATCCCAGTGAAGAAGATGCTGCTATTGTGGACAAAGTGCTTTCCATGCGAGTTGTGAAGAAAGAGGTGAGGCCTCTCTGTCCTTAATGTCATTCGTAGCATTTTTATGTTGCATTCATAGGTTTATTTTCCCTGTGACAGGGACTCTCTACTACTGAGCTGCATCCACAGTTCACAAGTTTTATTTTGTGAGCACCTTTGAATAGCAGAGTATATTGCTAGGGTATGGTTTTAAGATGCTGTATGAAAGCTAGCTAGAAAACATTTCTTTCACTGCTTTGTTTACAGTGGATAAAAGATTACTGTTTTTAGCTCGCAGACCTCTGGTGCCAGATTAGTCCCTTGATTAATGAAATATTTAGGAAACATTAGGATGAAATTCTGCCGTGTGTTGATGAAATTAAAAGTCTGTCTTTGATATATAAATGACTATAATTTCTATACTTCTTCTCAGCTTCCTTCTGGACAGTACACTGAGGCCGAGGAGTTCTTTGTCAAGTATAAGAACTAGTAAGTTACATGCAGTCAGAGCTGCTTACCCTATGTCAACAGGATGGGGAAGGGTCTCCCATCAAGACTACTGCTTACCCCGAGTCCACAAGTTCTGAAGGAGTCTCTCATGGAGACCTGTGTGCTTGGGAATATGCCTTATCCCCTCCTTTTTTTGTTGGTTTGTTTGTCTATTTGTTTTTTGTTTTAAGTTTTTCCAAGGGCTAATCAGACAATCTCAGGAATTAATATGACTGTTTCCTTTTAGCAAAGTGAGGCGAGGGCAGTTTCTGATAAAATTCCTTGTAATCTGCCCTGCTTCATTTAAGGCCTTATTACTCAGAACTGTAGTTTGTAAACAGAGTTAGCATTGCTTGGTAGCTGGTAGGAAGTGTGGGTGTCTAGATGTGTCCCAGAGTAGGTGGTTTGCACAGTTCAAGTTCTAAGACATTGGCCTAAGCTGTCTTCTGTTAAAGCACACATTTGCCCCACCTGTTGCTGGTTTCTCATGGCGTGATTGGCTGTTTCCACCCACTGTAGCTCCTACCTGCACTGTGAGTGGGCAACTATCTCCCAGCTGGAGAAGGATAAGAGGATTCATCAGAAACTAAAGCGGTTCAAAACAAAAATGGCTCAGATGAGACACTTCTTTCATGAGGTAATTAGGACTCAGTGTTGACTATTATTACTTTCTACTTTCTTATGAGATGACAGGCTCTTATATCCAGGCTGTCCTCAGGCTCCCCTCTCAAGGGCTGCTACTACAGAGCCGTACCCATCACATGGCCTTCCCTTTCTTTCCTGGCACAAATTAGTTACCAGGCTATCAGCCTCTGCAAAAGATATGCTTGACTTGTGTGCATGAATATAGAATTTTAATTTTGATTATTTAATTGGTACCATTCCATTGTTTTATTGGGTTTGGTTATGGTCTGTTAGAGAGGTATAAAGTCCAGCGCTGTGAGATTGTGATAAGTCTGTGCGTGGAGGATTTTCTGGAAGACGATAAAGTAGCCTGATCCACACTCAGCTCTCTTCTCTCCTATACTGGTCTTTTAACTTTTAACATCAACTGTTTCTTTAGATACAAACAACTTTCTCACTAAGAGAAAACTTGGGTTTTGTTGAGACATTCAGGCTGACTTACTGTGTAACTCTGACCTTAAACTGCCTTTCCCTCTGAGTGCTGGGTCATAGTTTATGTGTGCTGGAGATGTGATCCATGGCTTTCTGTGCTGAACAACATTCTGTCAACTGAACTTCATCTCCAGTCTGAGAAAACTTTTAAAAATCAGATTTCTCATGTAGTATTGGTAGAAATATTAATAGAGGAAATTTAATTTCTTATATCTAGGATTACTACTAATTAATTAAGCAAAGAAGCTACATAAGCAAAGAAATGTGTCCATTATATTTAACAATTTAGAAGTTTCTCATGACCTTGACTTGTAACTGTATTATACAAGCATTAGGGAGAGTGAAAAGAGATGCCACCAATGGAAGTGATAAAATCCCGTGTAATCTGTTCTGCCTCATTTAAGGCCTTATTACTCTAATAATGAGAAGCTATCTCTAGTTCTTGTACTCCTTTGCCTTCCCACTATATTCTCCACCAATGGAGGTGGCATCTTTGTGAAACACTTGGGAAAGCTCAATAAAGCAGAGCAGAAAGACAGTTTCAGAGTGATAGTCAAGAAGAGGCATTTGTTTGCGTTATGAAATATAATAGAGCAAGTTTATATGTGTTGGTGACTAGTTCAACAGATAGAGAGTACTCAGAAGACCAGAAAGCATCCAGAACATCCAGCCTGTTAGGGAGAAGAGATTCTGTGTCTGGTAACAATAAGAAATAGATTTATAGATTTTGTTAGTTTATTTTTTGAGACAGGATTTCTGTGTTAGTCTTGGCTGTTCTAGAACTAGCTCTATAAACCAGGGAAGCCTTGAATTCACAGAGATCCTCCTGAGTAAAATTTATATATTTTAATGCTATGAAAAATACACAATTCTAATTAATTTATTTTTTTAAACATATAAAGATGAAATAGAAAGGAATAGCTAGGTTCACTGTCAGTGATTTTCCTCCCTTACTGTTTGGTTTCATAACTCACCTAGGATGAAGAACCCTTCAATCCAGACTACGTAGAGGTTGATAGGATACTTGACGAGTCTCACAGTGTTGACAAGGATAATGGTGAGGTGAGTGGGGCATGGAGAAACATGAAAGACTTTCTGCAGGTTTCTGCTGGTTTGCTTGCCAATCCTTTATTTTTCAGATGTGGCCGAAAAACCCATTGGACTGAAAAGGTATTTCTGAGTTTCTTTTGTGGGATTCTTAGAATATAGTGGGAAAGCAAAGGAGTACAAGAACTAGAGATAGCTTTACATGCATCTTAGAGCTCCATTTGCAAGTATAGAAGAGCTACTCACTGTGGTCTCTCCCTTTCCTTCAGGCTGTGTGGAGACCCTGCACACTAATCCTTAAATCAATGAGTATAAAAACACTCCACAGGTTTCTGGCTTTTTGTATTTCCTGAACTTATCATTAGTTCAGTACATTTTTGTTTGTTTGTTTGGTTCGTTGGTTGGTTTGGTTTTTCAAGACAAGGCTTCTCTGTGTAACAACTCTGGCCACCCTGGAATTTGCTCTGTAGACCCAGCTGGCCTTTAACTCAGAGACTCACCTGCCACTGCCTCTTGAGTGCTGGGATTAAAGGCGTGTGCCACCACTGCCCAGCAGTTTAGTAGTTTTCATTTGTCATTTTGGAACCTACAGTTCCTGTTGTATAAATTTAGACTGAGGGTACAAGATATGTATTTTCAAGTTTGTTTTCTGGGAATATTTCTTTCATAAACTGTTTTGGGAATCACTGTACTAAAACTTCTATAGATTAGGGAACATATTCTGTTTATGGTCTTGTATTTGAAGATTCCTTTTTCATTTTCCAAAGAGTCACACTTGATCTAAGCCAAAAATGAACTCACCCCCGTCTTAAATTATATCTACATGTCAGACTTCCTTTTCTTCTAAAATGTTCACAAAGTTTTTATGGCCTGTTTCAGTGACGAGGACAGAATAGATTTCTGTTCAGGCACCAATGCTAAGTGGTAAGCTAGGCTTATGAGCTATGAGGTTCATTCACACATGTCACTCCCAACAGGATCCGTGAGTCAGTCCTCCTTCTGTGACATTGCAAAGTTGTTTTCTCAGACTTCAGAGGAACCTCAGATAGGACCTTAGATACTCAGGGCCTATTAATGTTTTAATGTCTAAATAGTCTACTAAGTATAACGTATATAATATATGTCCTCCTCAGTTTCCTGTCACCGTACTTAGCCTTCCAGAAGTAACTGGCCTTATGTTTGGACCCTGAATGTACAACTGGTGGGCTGAAAATGTTCTGGCCTTTTGATATTACAGTTCATGTTCCCAGTATTTGACAGTAGTGTTCTGTGAATTCATTTCCCCTCTGCAAAGTAGGTTTGATTTCTATTTTTCATTAGCTAACAATAGAAATAAGTATATTATTTAGAAAAATAAGCTGATATGCTAGAAACATGTGACTTGTACAAAAGGTTTTGGATGGAATGGCTCGAGTCACCACGGTAAAGAAAGAGCCATTGGATCATTTCTGTTTGAGACATGTACACCCTAATGGGAGCTGTTTCAAGGAGGAATCGTGAATTCATAGTTAGAGATTCCTATGAGTGCACTCTCCCTAATATTTTTTGTTTTGATTTTTGAGACAGGGTTTCTTTGTGTGCCCTTTCCTGGCTAGCACTTTCTTCTGTAGACCACACTGGCCTTGGACTCAGATAGATCCTGTGTGCTGTGATTAAAGGCATGGGTCACCACACCTGGCTATGCCTGATCTGTCCAATTGGACCTGCTTTATATAAGCCTATAATGGAAATACTTTTGCAGGAATGAATGATCATCTTTTTAATTTTATTTTTGTGGTCCCTAGGATCAGACCCAGAGTCCTCAGCATACTAGGGCCAGCACTCCAGCCCAGCAGTGACTATCTTAAATTACAAAAAGAGAAGAGGTATTGTCTCCCCTTCTACAGTGGACACCTATAGAATAGGTCTCAGTTGGAGCTTCAGCATTTCTTCCTTGAGCGTGTGGTTGTGGATTCAGCCTGGTGTTTTCAGCACCTATGGACGAATCCCTTGACATCCCATATGAGAGTCCGGTTCTTCCCTTTAATCAGCTGCTTTGGCTTTGCTCTCTCCCAGCCTGTCATCTACTACCTGGTGAAGTGGTGCTCTCTGCCCTACGAGGACAGTACATGGGAGCTAAAAGAGGATGTTGATGAGGGCAAGATTCGAGAATTTAAGCGGATCCAGTCAAGGCACCCAGAACTCAAAAGAGTGGTAGGTACATGTGGGTGTAGATGATAAATGTGGTAATGTAAAGGATTGTTATTTCAAGGCTTTATTTTTTTCCCTACTTGCAGAAGTTTTTGTAATTTAGCTTTCTACAGTGAAAATTCTCTAACATGTAAAGAAGGGTTGACTAATAATGTACCCATCCTTTATTTCTTTCCTTTTTAAAATACTTATTTACTTTATGAGTATGGATGTTTTGTCTGCACACCAGGAGAGGGCATTGACGCCCATCCTTCTATGGTTATAGACAGTTGGGAACCTCCACGTGAATGCTGAAATTGAACTCAGGACCTCTGGAAGACTGGCCAGTGTTCTTTACTTTTGAACTATCTCTCCAGCCCCCTAAATTTCTTTTTTTCTTTTTTTTTTAAACAGTTATTTTATTTATTTATTATGTATATAGTGCTCTGCCTGCATGTATCCCTACAGGCCAGAAGAGGGCGCCAGACCTCATTACAGATGGCTGTGAGCCACCATGTGGTTGCTGGGAATTAAACTCAGGACTTTTGGAAGAGCAGCCAGTGCTCTTAACCTCTGAGCCATCTCTCCAGCCTCCCTACCCCAAATTTCTTAAAGTAGTTTCCTGGGTTCTTCCTAAGTTACCCAGTGGGCATTCTTTCCTTTAAAAATAACATGCAGTCATAAATTTAAATGTATTTCACAGATTATAATCCAAGCAAGTTTTTCATTTGATTAAACTACTAGAATTAGTAATTTTATAAGTGTCGCTGCACCACTAATTCAGATTTTTTACTTTTTAGAATCGTCCACAGGCAAGTGCCTGGAAGAAATTGGAGCTATCACATGAATATAAAAACCGGAACCAACTGAGGGAATATCAGTTAGAAGGAGTCAATTGGCTCCTCTTCAATTGGTATAACAGGTAAAGAAAAGTGATCTTATAGCATGTAAGCTTAGTCTAGGAATTATTCTTATACATATTTTTTCCTAGGTAAAATCTTTTCATTAAGATGATAAATTTTTGACATATTCTTCTCTCCTATTCCTACCTCGAAATCTGCAGGCAGAACTGCATCCTCGCTGATGAAATGGGATTGGGCAAAACCATTCAGTCGATTGCCTTCCTACAGGAGGTGTATAACGTAGGCATCCATGGTCCCTTTTTGGTCATTGCTCCCTTGTCCACCATTACTAACTGGGAGCGAGAATTCAACACATGGACGGAGATGAACACTATTGTGTACCATGGCAGCCTGGCAAGCCGGCAGATGATTCAGCAGTATGAAATGTACTGTAAGGATTCTCGGGTGAGTGGTATGTCTTGGGAATGATGTGCATAGTGAACGTAGGCCTACGTACCTACTATTTCAGGGGCTGCTTATGAGTTAAAGATGTTTTCTGAGGCTCTCTGTGACTTAAGGTCTTCTTTTATGCAATAGTGGGGCTGGACTTAGCTGTTTCTACCCAGCCGACACCGTGAGTCACTGGCATTCTGATTTCACATATGAATGCATCATTCTGATGAATTGGTTTCTTTGCTTGAGTCAAGTTCTGCAGTGCAGCCTGGCCTGGCTTTAGCTCCCTGAATACCGAGATGATAGTTATGCACCACGATACCCAGCTGGTACATGTAATTTAAGTAGAATTTTAAAAGCACTGATGAGTTTTAAAGTATTTCTCAGAGTGATAAACTTACATGTGGTAATAAACTTAAATACAATTGCCCTTTTTTTTGAATGATTGAAATTTTAATAGGTGCTTTTTCCTGAAGAAAAAAAATTTGAATCACCCATTTTGTATAATTAATTATTTATTGCTGCTTTTTTATTATTTTTATCTCTAAGCTAAATTTTTTCATATATTATAGTTCTTAATTTTGTTAAAATTATTTGAATTTTAGGGTCCAATATTAACATGTTCTGTATTAGCTATTGCCACTTGTATTTTTATTTATTGTAGTGGTTTTGAAATAAGGGCTCTATATGTAGCCCAGGTTGGCCTCAAACTTGTGCTGCTATTGCCTCAACTAGGTTACACGGAGCTACCTGGCTCGGCTTCCACTTTTCCCTGTAGTTTTTTTCAGCATTGCTCAACATCTTGTGCACTTCATTGTTAACCAAGGAACGATCTAAGACAGATTTACATTAGCTAAGCATACAATAGTCAGAAATGTCTAGCTCCACTCAGTGAGGTAGGCATGTTATTCTTTTAAAGAAGCTGAATCTGTTGAGAAAAGTGCCTATCACGTCTGTGATTTGCCACTGACTGTTGGGAATATAAACAGTGGCAGAAGTTGGTAGTAGTGCAGTTGTGCTGTGTAAACTTCCTTAAGTATGTAAAGAAACGCAGAACTCTGCAGGTGGGCACGTGTTTAGGAGGTGCCTCTTCTGACTGCACTGGTTTCATAATTAGGGTCGCCTCATCCCAGGTGCATATAAGTTTGATGCCTTGATCACCACTTTTGAGATGATTTTGTCAGACTGTCCTGAGCTTCGTGAAATTGAGTGGCGCTGTGTTATCATCGATGAAGCCCACAGACTGAAGAACCGTAATTGCAAGCTACTCGATAGTCTGAAGCATATGGACCTGGTGAGTACTCCAAAGTGACTTCACAGACATCTGAAATTTAATCTAACTTGCCTGTGAAATGAAAACTGCCCTAGAATGAAAGTCATAAACATTATAAGTTTTAGATTTGAAAATTAGCTATAAATGAGTGCTTCTTAATCATGAGGTACAGTGGGAAGGTACCTTAGTTACCTATCCCAAAGATTAATATTTAAAACAGCAACTCTATTTTTCATGATTCTCTGGTTGAGCCTCTTGGGCCACACTCAACTAAATGTTCTCCTGGTGGTCTTTCCTGGGTCACTAATGTTGCTGCAGCTGACAGTTGATAGTAGTTATTTGTTGGAACACTTAGGTTATCTTACTCCTGGCCTTTCTTCTTCTAGTGGGCCAGATTGGGTGGGCTTCCTTACAGACTGACCCCAGGGAGAAGGGTCAGGTGGAGTGTGGAGCCCTTGGACTCCGACTCCAGTGCATTCTCTTTGTCGAGCCAGTCACAGGGCAGCCTGGGTTCCAGCGGGGACCCTTACTGGGAGGAATTACAGAGAACTAATGACCACAAAAACAGTCCACAGAGGAGCGAATTAGGATTTCTATGTTAATGTGGAGAGACATGAATTTGGATAGTGTCATCTGAGTTACTAGTACTTTATTTGGTTAAAGTCGGCATTTACTTAGTTTTAGTCTGTCAGATAAGGGCATCTCCTAAATGGCTTTGTTACTGAGTGAGCAAGTAAAAGAAAAGTTAAGGCAGTAATCTGACCCATGATGGGGTCATAGTGTCGCTAAAACTCAACTGACTGCATGCTTGGTGGATCTCCAAACCCTTTGTCTTCTCCCGTATAGGAGCATAAAGTGTTGCTCACAGGAACACCGCTGCAGAACACTGTAGAGGAGCTCTTCAGCCTGCTCCATTTCTTGGAGCCTTCACAGTTCCCTTCAGAATCAGAGTTCCTTAAGGATTTTGGAGATCTCAAGACAGAGGAGCAGGTAAGAAATCTGTCTAATGAGGTATTAACTCATAATCTACAATCGTCAGATAGTAGAGAACTAATTTTGTTTCATGTTATAATGTAATCCTATTGGTTTCTTTTTTCTTTATGATGTAATGTGATATTTGTTTGTTTCTTTTTCCCTTCTGATATAATGTAATGTTAGTGGTTTCTTTGTCTCTTTATAATGAACCACAGGTTCAAAAACTACAGGCCATTCTCAAGCCAATGATGCTGAGAAGACTCAAAGAGGATGTGGAAAAAAATTTGGCTCCCAAACAGGAAACTATCATTGAAGTAGAGCTTACCAACATCCAGAAGAAGTACTACCGAGCCATTTTAGAGAAGAATTTCTCCTTCCTTTCCAAAGGAGCAGGTCACACCAACATGCCTAACCTGCTGAACACGATGATGGAGTTACGCAAGTGCTGTAACCACCCGTACCTCATCAATGGTGAGGGCGCTCGAGTCCTGGACAGTGGGGGGGGGAGCTGTTGTGTCTGTTGTGATGGGGGCTGGGACTTGAGTGCAGCAGCACACATGCAGAGGTCAGAGGGCAACACTGTGGAATCGTCTCTCCTTCCACCTCCATGTGGGCTATTGGGATCACACTCGGGTAGCCAGGCTTGCGAGGCAGGCACCTTTATCTTTTGAACAATCTTGCTGACCATTCTGATTATTTCTATTTCCTTGGTTTTACAAAAAATTTCCCGAATTAAATAAGATTTTTTTATGTAGAATTTCATGAGTAAGGACTCAGGTTATTCTGCATTCTGGATAAATGTTCTTACTGGTACCTCATAATGAATATTTTCATGGGGAGGTGATTGTATGTTAATAATAGTAGGTATGTCCAGTTTAGTCATTGTCTATGAAAGACCTGTCTTAATTAACATTTTTTATATAGCAGAATAGAAAATTAGCTTGGATATAAAAGTTTGGAACTTTTTGTGAGAAATGCTGCTATTAATGCATTTGCTGCATAAGCATGAGGACATAAATTTGCATTCCCTGCACCCATATACCAATTTGTACAATTTAAGTTACCACACACCTGTAACTTAAATGCCACAGGGATTGTGGGTGTGTCAGCTACAAGCCTAGTTCTCTGTGTTGTTCACTTTGAGAGCCTCTGCCCAATAGACTGTGACAGAATGGTAGAGCAGAACCTCCGTGTGTGTGTGTGTGTGTGTGTGTGTGTGTGTCTGTGTGTGTGTCTGTGTGTCTGTGTGTCTGTGTGTCTGTGTGTATGCGCATGTCTGCGTGTGTGTGTGCGCGTCTGTGTGTATGCGCATGTCTGCATGTGTATGTCTGTGTATCTGTGTGCGCGCATGTGTCTGTGTGTGGTGTGCGCTAACAGGGAGGGAAGAAGGGTCAAAGATCAAACTGCTTTTTATTTTGCTTATTTATCTCAAACTGTTATGTTAAATAAGACTTTGTATGTTCTCACTTATTCACGACTTCAACTTTGACTATTTTATTTGTAGGTGCAGAAGAAAAAATCCTGATGGAGTTTCGGGAAGCTTGCCATATTATACCTCAAGATTTCCACTTGCAGGCCATGGTTCGGTCAGCTGGCAAGTTGGTTCTTATTGACAAGTTACTTCCAAAGCTTAAAGCTGGGGGCCATAAAGTTCTGATCTTTTCCCAGATGGTACGCTGTCTAGATATTTTAGAGGATTATCTGATCCAGAGGAGGTAAGAAATGAGTCATGATAAAATGTCTCTATATCTTCATAAAGCTTCAAGGATAGTTGTTGTGCAGTGGTAGAATGTTTGCTTGGCACATGCAGGACCTTGGCTTCTCTGCTTAACCACTTTTTCCCTCTTGATATCCACCCATCCTTACCAGGTACTTATATGAACGGATTGATGGGCGAGTTAGAGGCAACCTTCGACAGGCTGCTATTGACCGCTTTAGCAAGCCTGACTCAGACCGCTTTGTCTTTTTGCTGTGCACCCGTGCTGGTGGACTTGGTATTAATCTTACAGCTGCTGATACTTGTATTATCTTTGATTCAGACTGGAATCCACAGAATGACCTGCAGGTAAAGGAAATTATTTCCTTAAAAACTATGTGCTAATAATAATAATAATAATAATAGTAAGCCAGGCAGTGGTGGCTCACGCTTTTAATCCCAGCACTCAGGAAGCAGAGGCAGGTGGATCTCTGTGAGTTTGAGGCCAGCCTGGTCTACAAGAGCAAGTTCCAGGACAGGCATCAAAACTACAGAGAAACCTTGTCTAGAAAAAAACAAAAACAAACAAACAAACAATGTGCCTAATCCAAGAGATTTTTAATAAATCACGTTCTCTTAGACTCCTTTTTCAAAGAAGAGGAAATTATTTACCTATAGCTGGTAGCTTGGTCACGAGTCAGCTAACATCTGCAGGGAATCTAATACTGAATGTAGGCTGTAGGCTGTAGTCAGCTAACATCTGTAGGGAATCTAATACTGAGTGGAGGCTGTAGTTTCTGTTTCAGCTGCTGCTGTGGCACAAAGCCAATAACGGATGGCATGGAGGTGAATGGTCTGTGTTTCAGTCAGATTTCATTTATTATTCCTTTTCATGAGAGAGAGGCATACAAACTAGTTTGCAGAGGTGGATGTGGTGGCTCACATCTTTAATCCCAGGCAGAGGCAGGGGGTTTCTGTGAGTCAGGACAGTGTCTCCAAAAAAGAAAAGGAAAACGGAAGAAAGAAACAAAACTAGTTTGCTGACCCCTGTTATACAAGATGGGGCAGAAATTTCTTTCTGAAGTTTTTGGTTTGGGGTTGATTTCATGGCTCTTTATGAGTGTGAAGAACTAAGACTTGATATTATGTGCATCTTTGCTCTTTTAACCAGGCCCAGGCACGGTGTCATCGAATTGGACAGAGCAAAGCTGTGAAGGTTTACCGACTCATCACTCGTAATTCCTACGAGAGAGAGATGTTTGATAAAGCTAGCCTCAAGTTGGGATTGGATAAGGCTGTGCTCCAGTCCATGAGTGGTCGGGATGGCAACATCACTGGAGTAAGTCTGCAGATACTTTTGTGGGGGTCCCAGTAATAGAGGGAGATAAACAGCAATTGTTTTAGAGGATGCGTGTGTGTGTTTATGTGCAGAGAGAACTTGGAGGAACTGTGTGGAGTCAGTTCTCCTTCCCCCTCAGTTGTTTTAGAGGATGCTTGTGTGTGCTTATGTGCATACAGAGCTTGTTTTAGAGGATGCTTGTGTGTGCTTATGTGCATAGAGAACTTGTTTTAGAGGATGCTTGGGTGTGCTTATGTGCATAGAGAACTTGGAGGAACTGTGTGAGGTCAGTTCTCCTTCCCCCTCACGTGGGTTCTGGAGGTCAAGTGAAGAGCGCCAGGAATTGGATTGATGATCATTTTTTAAAGTAGAATAAAATGTCGACTATTCTTTTTTTTTTTTTTTTTTTTTTTTTAAGATTTTTATTCTTGTCTTTTTTTTCCCCCCAGATTCAACAGTTCTCCAAAAAAGAGATTGAAGATCTCTTAAGGAAAGGCGCATATGCCGCCATAATGGAGGAAGATGATGAGGGTTCTAAGTTTTGTGAGGAGGACATAGACCAGATCTTACTGAGGCGGACCACAACCATCACTATTGAGTCTGAAGGGAAAGGGTCCACCTTTGCTAAGGTCTGTGGCAGATCCTCCGTGAGCAGGCAGAGATGGAGACAGCAATCTCCAGGATTTAAAGATTTTTAAGTACTTTCTAATTTCCCTTTGTGTATAAAAGATTGTAATTAACTTTATTCTGCCTTTATTTCTCCCTAGGCAAGCTTTGTTGCTTCTGAAAATAGGACAGATATTTCCCTGGATGATCCAAACTTTTGGCAAAAATGGGCAAAAAAGGCAGACCTAGACATGGATCTGCTGAATAGCAAGGTGAGCTTATCCCTCCTTTGAGCGGGGGGCTATATTGTAGAAGGCAAAGTACTTTCATTCTCTATTAGTTCCAACTCTTTAATGCTAATTAAAACTTATGGTAAAGGGGCTGGAGAGATGGCTCAGTGGTTAAGAGCGCTGCCTGCTCTTCCAAAGGTCATGAGTTCAATCCCCAGCAACCACATGATGGCTCACAACCATTTATAATGAGATCTGGTGCCCTCTTCTGGCACCATTCAGACATTCAGACAGAATACTGAGGATACTGTATACATAATAAATAAATAAATAAATAAACTCTTTAAAAAAAGCTTATGGTAGAATATTATATACAAAGTTTATAGAACCATTCTCTACCAAGGATACACCCTAAAGAAAGACACTTACATGTTGTCTTGGTCATTGCTCTTTAGCTGTGAAGAGACACCACAACCATGGCAACCTTTACAAAGCAAAGCATTTAATTGGTGCTTGCTTACACTTCAGAGGTTGAGTCCGTTAGTGTCATGGCAGGAAACATGATGGTACACAGGCAGACATGGTAGCGCAGAGTCCTTCATATAAGATCCAAAGGCTGCAGGAAGACAAAGACATGGGGCCTGGCTTGAGCTTTTGAAACCCTAAAGCCCACCTCAGGTGACACACTTCCTCCAACAAGGCCACACTACTACAGCAAGGCCTTGTGCTCTGATCCTTTCTAATAGTGCACTCCCTAGTGACCAAGCATTCAAATCTGTGATTCTGTGGGGCCATTTTTATTTCAACCACCTTTTCCTTCCTGAGCCTTGTAGATGGTTTTACATGCCCTAAACTCTTGAGTACTTTCGTAACTTACATTCAAGATTATGTCAGTTCATAAGTGACTTTGCCTGTGAGCAGACAAGAGCAATATCTCTCGCTCTCTATATAGAATAACTTGGTGATTGACACACCTCGAGTGCGGAAACAGACTCGACACTTCAGCACTCTGAAAGATGATGACCTGGTTGAGTTTTCTGATTTGGAAAGTGAGGATGATGAGCGGCCGCGTTCCCGAAGACATGACAGGCATCATACTTATGGGCGCACTGACTGCTTTCGGGTGGAAAAGCATCTCCTGGTATATGGGTAAGAATGCAACTTGCCGAGTGCTGACTGACTCCTGATGCTGTTGCCTTTCAGATTGGAGGATGTGTCCAAGAGGCAACATGTAGAAACACTACCTTTGAGGGAGCTTCTGTTTTCCACTTTCGGGATGATGGCAATTCTGGGAGCCAGGATAATATCACTGAATTTGAATCTCTCCAAAAATATATGTGTTGTTGCCTTTCCTGTTTTGTTAGTTGGGGACGTTGGCGAGATATTTTGTCTCATGGACGCTTTAAGCGACGCATGACTGAAAGAGATGTGGAGACAATATGCCGTGCCATCCTTGTGTACTGTCTTCTGCACTACCGTGGGGATGAGAACATCAAAAGCTTCATTTGGGACTTGATTAGCCCTGCTGAAAATGGCAAGACAAAAGAATTGCAGAATCATTCAGGTAATTATCAACTCCTACCCTTTTGTCTTTCTACAAGGTATTTAGTCCTTTTCAGTTGTAAGGGTTTTTCTCAATCCAAGTCTTTGATGTCTCCCCTTTCCCAGGTCTGTCTATCCCTGTGCCACGTGGGCGTAAGGGGAAAAAAGTAAAGTCACAAAGTACTTTTGACATTCATAAGGCAGACTGGATCCGGAAATATAACCCTGATACTCTGTTCCAAGATGAGAGTTATAAGAAGCACTTGAAACATCAGTGTAACAAGTAAGAGTGCTGTTCAGATAAGTCCTCATGAAGGCTTGCTACATTGTTGCTAAGGTGTCTCTTTCTCCCTTCTAGGGTACTGTTGAGAGTAAGGATGCTGTACTATCTGAGGCAAGAAGTTATTGGAGACCAAGCAGAGAAGGTGTTGGGGGGTGCTATCGCAAGGTAAAGTCCCTTTCTTTAACATTCACTCCTATATCTGTCCGTCCATCATCCATCCATCCACCCATCTGTCATTTATCTATCATCTATCTCCTATCTATCTATCTATTATCTATATCTATCTGTCATCTATCTATTCTATCTCCTATCCATCCATCCATCCATCCATCTATCTATCATCTGTTGTTTTGTGTTGTGGAGAGGAAAGGGATATGCCATGACATGCTTGTGGCACTCAGAAGACAAATTGCCAGCATAGTTTCTCTCTTGTGTGGGTTTCAGGGATTGAACTCAGGGTGTCAGGCTTGGTAGCAAGCTCCTTCACCTGCTGAGCCACTTTGCCAGCCTCTTTGTATTTATGTACTCTTTCATGATATTTCCTTCCTTGCTCCAGGAGTGACTGGTTTGCTTACTTCCTCCTATACTGTCTTTGAGATACCAGCCATTAAAGGCTAGGCTCACAACCAAAAATATAAGAGATATCTAATAATTAAAAATCTCTATCAGGTCTTTAGCACAAGTTCATAGAAATATGGCATAAGCATAATCATTTAAAGTAATGAATAAAGCAAGCAACCTTTAATAACCTTTTTTTGGGGGGGGGGGTTTCGAGACAGGGTTTCTCTGTGGCTTTGGAGTCTGTCCTGGAACTAGCTCTGTAGACCAGGCTGGTCTCGAACTCCCAGAGATCCTCCTGCCTCTGCCTCCCGAGTGCTGGGATTAAAGGCACGCGCCACCATCACCCGGCTATCACTTCTATTTCTAACATTGCTTTACTGACTTCACATTTAGTGAGATTGACATATGGTTCCCAGTGGTGGATCAGCTGGAAGTTCCAACAGCGTGGTGGGACAGTGAAGCTGACAAGTCCCTGCTCATTGGCGTCTTTAAGCATGGTAGGTACCCTCTGCAGTACTGCTTTTCTGTTGAAGATGTGTCACAACCAGAAGTGCCTGTAACAGACTAGTTCTATAATGAAATGTTCAAGGAATTCCAGATAGATGGTTAAAGGCAGGGAGCCTCTCTGTCTTCTCTGCTCCCTGTATATTGTGGGATCTATATTAGGATTCTACAAGTCAAAGCAAGTTCTGTTAATAATAACCATACTTAATTTCAGTGACTTTTCTTGTGTCTCACTTGTCTAAAGGTTTAGTAGTCTGAGGTAGCAGTGAGTACTAATTTCTTATCAGGCAAAAATTGATAAGAAATTCCAGGCATTAGAGTCAGTGAATATTAGCTTTATCCTTTGATGCACTGGAATGAATTTTTTAAACATACTCTTTCTGTTTACTTCCTAAAATAAAGTTACTTAATTTACATGTTTTTTAGAAATGTAGTGGGCTAAGAAAAGTTGTGACAAGCCAAACATTAGGTGGTGCATCCCTTCGATCCCAGCACTGGAGTGCAGACACAGGCAGATCACGTGTGTCCAGACATTAGGTGGTGCATCCCTTCAATCCCAGCACGTGGAAAGGCAGACACAGGCAGCCAGGGCTACACAAGGAGATCCTAGTTAAAAAATTAATTAATTAATTAAAAGATGGGCATTTGATTTTCTAGCAAGACACAGAAGTTTAGAGTTTAGTATAAGTACTCACTGGGAATCTCTTTACTTTCAGGTATGTTTCTTGTTCTTCATTTGAGAATGTGTGATAAAAATCATAAATTATTAAGCTATTTTCTTCATTTCTGTACTAAGAAGAGTAATCTAAAAATTATTAAATGACTCTATAGACCAGTCACCTTAAGATGAGTTATATATTAAATTATTGTCAACCAGATGAAAACGACAAAAGTTATAAACACAGTGGTATTAACACCTATCCAAGTTAATATTTGTTATTCTGACCAAAGCCATAGTCTAATAATACTAACAGTATACAAAATAAGTACAGACATTGGAATTTCTTCAATCTGTGTCCCTTGTTCTTCTAGGCTATGAGAAATATAACACCATGAGGGCAGACCCAGCCTTGTGCTTCCTGGAAAAGGCTGGCAGGCCAGATGACAAAGCTATTGCAGCGGAACATAGAGTGTTAGATAATTTCTCTGATCTGGTGGAAGGGTAAGCATTGGTGGTGCCTTCACTTGGGTCTTGTGCTGATTCTACCTAACGCTAGCCTGGGCTGAATGAATGTTTTACTCTATTTTTGTTTTTGTTTTGAGGCAGGGTCTCATAGAGTTCTTTCATAGGTCTTTCTGACGGCCTGGAACTTGCTTTGTAGACCAGGTGCACCTCAAACTCAAAGATTCACCTGCCTCTCCCTCCCAAGTGCTGGGATTAAAAGCGTGCACCGCCAGACTCAGCCCATCACTGAGATTTGAGATGGTGGTTATACTCATGTGTGACAAGTTCTTACTAAAGAATTGGACTCTAGACACTGGCCTTAATCACACATTGTTGTAACTGCAAGTGAAAATCTGTGTTCTTCCCAGAAGGCTTACACAATAATCACAGTATAGCTGTAGTAACTGGGAAGATAAACTAATTCTATTGGTTCTCATAGGTTACTCATGTGGCAGGACTTTAGACAGTTTGTCATTTCCCATGGTATCTGAAACTCTGGGGACATGTCCTGATGATGAGCTGCCATGCTAATACTGAGTCACCAAGTAGGGCAGTGTTGCCCTGGTTTGGGTGCCAGTGAGTTTAACAAAACTTCTCACATGGAGACCTGAGGGACATGTTGCAAGGATGGGTTTTGTTAAGGGCTCTCTATAAATTTCTGCATGAGCAAGACTATTGATGACTGACTACCTCTTCACTTTGGTTTGTAAAGGACTAACAAAAGAAATGTATTTATTGCAAATCATTCTATCACCCTTCTGCTCAAGAGCAAAGTAGAGAAAATTAATACATTGTAAAAAATATGAACATGGTTTGGAGAGATGGTATCTTAGTTAGTGTTATTATTGCTGTGATGAAATACCATGACCAAAGCAACTTAGGGAGGAAAGGGTTTATTTCAGCCACAGTCCCATAGAACAGTTCATCATCAAAGCAGTGAGGGCAGAAACTCATACAAAGCAGGAACCCACAGTGGACTGGGCCCTTCTCCACCAATCACTAATTTTAAGAATGTCTTACTGACTTGCCGGCAGCCCAGTCTTGAGGCATTTCCTCAGTGGAGCTCCCTCCTTTCAGATGACTCCAGCTTGTGTAAAGCCAACACCAGTGGCTCAGTACTTAAGAGCACTTCCAGCTCTCTCAGGGGGTG